AAAAATGGGGTCCCTTCGAATAAGCGAAGCAATAGACTGGACAGACTGCAAAAATTGCCAATCCAATGGCCCGATGAGAACCAGATCGACTTGGAGCCGCCCTCCTGCTGAAAGGTTGGCAATTTATTGCCAACCGGCGGGAAAGCTGAAAATACAAAGCTGATAGAGGTCGAAGGGCCAAAATCCCTGCTCTCCAACCACTATCGAAAATCAGTCACCACCGTGGTCGGCCACTTCCCACATGCCCAACAGTCTGCCCTTGCGTACCAAGTTGCACTGTGTCCTGGTGCAGTGTGAAAAAGATTCAAAAGGCAAATCGAAGGTAAGTTCCCTGGCTACGCCCCCCCCAGGTGGAGGCACAAACCTACTAGGCTTGAGTTATGGAATTCTGGATTCAATAATTGAGATGGATGAAGAGAAAGAAACAGAGCACTCGTTCTGAAATAATGTTGGCAGTTATCCTAGTTTCGTTGTGTCTGCCTTCTGGGCTTGGGGATCAGAAACACATTATTCCACACATATGAATGGTGCAGGTATCCAATCGAGACAATACGAAGAGTGCTTTGGCTGTTGACACGACTACGCAACCAACACGCCTGGCAAAGCGCGTAGAAATCTTTGTAGCCTGGGAGAATCGCAACGGGAATTGCCCAAACCATAAATAACTCGTCGTCAGATCCACTTCAGATTTGGTTTCATGGCTGTTCTTGTTTCATGGTGAGAAATTGTGCCCCAAAACAAGTCGGCAAGGTGATGCGTCTGGAAACCGTGCAAACGACTTTGTTTCTTTTGGTGTAGCTCAAGGTGGGATTCAGATGTTTTTTCTAGGTTCCTCAATGTTTGCTCGATAATGTCAATCCCCTGGAATGGGAAGTGTTTGGCGAATCTGGCAAGTAGGGAAGGGTAGTGCTGACATCTGACCTGAGCAAGCCAAAAACCAACGGTACTTATCTTCCACAACAATGTTTCCCTATCATCACAGTATACAAATCGTATATAGTGGAGCACTTGAACTCCTGAAGGTTAGGCGCCTTGACAAACATATTGAAGACCTTAGATTAGCTGTTTCTTGCAGTATCCACTAGCACCAGCTCAAGCCGGTTGTGAAATAAAGGGAGCACGGTACCCATCTTTCGCTTTTCGATGAGAGCCATGTGCTGAGAGCCTGGCTGTTTGTCGCTGCAAGACCCCACAAATTGCCACTGCTATCCACCAGACCACTCCACAGTGTCTGTCCGCTTGCTGGAGTCAGCCTCAAGCGTCTGATTTGGTCACCGTCTGGAAGAAGAACTTCTTGCATAGCACTTACAGCACAAGGAGACAACTGGATTTGAGTTCTAGCAGCTCTTGTGGGTTTTGTTGCCATTCCTAAATCTGCGCAAAAGGAGATTTGGTGTCTTTACACAAATAGGCTCTCACCTGGTTCACCTTCTCGAGCAGGCCTCCCAACACGTCCACTGGGCAACCCTCACGTCTCATGGCTCATCGACTCCAGGTGGATCTTCACAACGGTTCCATCACTCACCACCTGGTGGATCAGCGATTTCAGCTTGACTTGATCAAACTTGACCAACCCCGGCAGCAGAGGCAGGGAACTTGCTATGTCCTCCTGTGAATGGAGATTGGGACAGGGTGTTGCTAATCGTTCAGTGTTCATGCAAGGCACCAAATAGCCATAGCGCACTCGTACCAGACCTTTCACAAAGCTCCCTGAGACACTCGACAGATCTGCTGCTGTCACAGATGCCTCGGCGTGGTACTCAGGGGTCCAGACCAAAACCCGCATGTGGTGATAGGAGAGTCATAGTTCTATGTTTGTCAGTTGGTTGGATAGTTCCTATAGAATCTTGTTGGGATCAACGTTCCAATGCAGATCAGTTTGAGTCGTCATAGATTCCTGAAGTAAAACATCAAAACCGGAAATGGGACTTTCTGGCTTCATCCAGCTTCATCTAGATTCACCTAGCTTTCGTGTTCACGCTGCAAGATAGCCACTTGTAAGTCAAGGAAAAATTGAGTGCCTCTAATCTTTGCAGCAATTCAAAGAAACAGGAAATGAGCACTTGGCCACGTAGGACGACAAGACAATGCCAAAATGACAACTTGTTGGTGGTAATTTGGATACGCTCTCATTGGCTTTCACCTCCACCAGAGCCTACCATGCAAACAATGCCCCGAGCTGAAATCGTCACAACCTATCATGTGTCTGGTCACAAGTTTTTTCTGCGCAAGCGCTCTAGAAGTGTTGCCATGCGAGCTTGAGGAGCGTGAGTGCCATGCACCTAAAGACAGTTGATCCACCCAACACCCAAGTCCCAGCAGCTGTATCGAAGCTTGAGAGGGAGAAGCGCACAAACTTCTTGTAGCTCTGCTCAGGGACCAGGAAACCTCTATGTGACAGACGCAGGAAGGATCGCAAATGACCACTGGAGATGCATCCAACATGGACAGTTCTACTGGGATTCTGATCAGAATGCACAGATCGCTCATCCCAGAAAATGAATGACAGAGAAGCAAACGCCACAACCGTCTGAAGTCGCACGGTAAACAAAGACATCTGAAACAGAAAATTCGCTATGTCTGGTCATGTGGGATCTCTGTCTGGGCTCATGTCCCAGGGCATCCCTTTCGGTACCCGTCTTTTTCGCTATCAAGAACCAGACTGCCTGCACAGAGTCATGAAAGAGGGGTTCCAAATCAACAATGTCTGTCCAAGAATGGATGTCCTACCCATATCTACCAATAATGTATAAGAACACTGATACCTTGCAAGTCATAGAAAAACGAAGAAACCTGCTGTGGGCATTGCTTTTACAAGTTCTCAGTTGAACAGTTGGGATCACGTAGAACATCGCACGTCACTGTGGTGGGGTCTTCTGCAATTCGAGGGGCCATACTTGTAGTTGGTGAAGCCGTCCATGAACTGTTTGTACTCAAAGTTGGCACCACTGTTTGTCAGATCCAAGGACTCCACGATGCTAAAGGTGGCCTTGGGGTGCAAGTCGACATGTTTAGTGACTTACAGGACCAAACTATGCCAGAATACGAACCACATACCGACAATGCGTATGCAAACGTGTTTCTCTCATCGTTTCTAAATGTGCCTAGATAAGTCTATAATATAGACTCTATGTATATATATATATATGTATGATGGCATGTCAGAAAGAGGTTTCAAAATTGGTTGATCTCCGAACAGAGTATGGCTGTCGTTGACACGAAGGTTCTTCACAAACCATAGTCGGGACCTTCCGACTCCCATTCTGGGGCAACAGGTCCTGTCTTTGAACGGTCGCCGCGCGACCAGGTCAAAGCGAACCACGATCCCACTGGGCGAGGAAGTACTGTCCTGCGAATCTTCGGAACGGCCAGTTTGCCTCTCATAAACTAGCACATATAACTTGCATAACAATCAAAAGCAAACAACACTTGGGATACTGACACGTACAGTATGTGTTCAAAACATTTCAAAACCAACACCACAAAATCCTGGTCAGCTGATACCCCAACAGCAGGGTGTCATGGCCCACAACGCGTGCACTATGTCTCTTAAAACCAAAAAGGCAGTCTTAGAGCGCAAAGAGAACATTCTAACCAGCACCCACAAGCTATCAAACAAGCTAAGATATGCTAGGATCTATGTTTAACTCTATATAAAAGGGTCACAGGGGTACGCGTTCGAGGGTTGCAAGAATATGAAGCATGTCTTCATTCTCTGCTCCCATTACTGACCCCTCTCCTGGTACGGCACCAAATAGCCATAGGTGCCTCCAATCAAAAACTGTGCTGGTAGAAATGGGCTACTGACAAGAACTCCCATGGTCACCAGCTGCCTATGATATGTGTCATAGGTGTCTTCACATGTTGGCAAAAGTTTAGGGTCCATAGTGTAAAATTAGAATTTGATTGCAAAGAAAGCGCTCTATATATATATAATTGTTCGACTACTTTTCGAAAGCCTTCATTCTTTGATTCAATCACGATTGTACTGATGCCCACCTTCGCGTTTCGATGCTAGTCTTTTCCTACCCGAGACCCAAGAATTCCAAAGCGCAGCCAAGCCCAGTCAGCGGTTCGCGCACCGTCTTGGAAGCCATTGCGGAACGATCTGAAGTCCTGGCCGGGTTTGCTAGCCAGTCATAGGGCATCGATGAACCACAAAAA